AAAAAATTCGTTCGTCTCATCCAGTAAAACGTGGTGGTGAAATCAAAACAGGAGGTTCTCTCTCGAGTGGCGCTCGATGCAGCGTGATTTCACCGATTTCAGACCGTCGATAGAACATCTCTCTTCGAAAGTTTCAGGCTTGCAATGCATTCTTCTCGAGCACGATCTCGACACTCGAGAATGCAGCGAATCACGCGTGGCGAACATTCAGGCGAAATTTCCATGGCCGCGGATACAAGGAAACACAGGCGCGGCGGTGTGTTTTCAGTGTGCATTAGCACGGCGAGTTTTCGGGCACGACGACGACGACAACGCGGAGCGTGGCCTTTTACGCGCGCACGTCCGCGTCGCCGGCGTAGGTACACAGACTGTAATTAATCCAAGGTGTTAAATCAAGACCCGTGAATGCCTCCGCCTCGTCTGCAGCCTCGTGACGCGTTCTCTAGCCGAGTGGCTCGCCCCCTCGAGACCACCTGCCACGTCTTACAAGCCTCGAGTGCAAGCCCGTCCTTCCATTCTCGCGCCGACTAACCTCGCGCGCACAGCTATCCTCCAGCGGATTCAAACTTGATCAAAGACACTTGTCCAGGCAAACTTCTCTTTCAGAAAGAAAAGAATAAAGGAGAAAGGAAAACAAGAAAACGTGAATTCCGCACACGTGTGCACATTCGGATAATTAAGACTTAAACGTATCGATTCAGAATTCATTGATTCCACGATTACGAAATTGTATAAGTGTTAATGAACATCGTTTTGAGCATCATTATGACGAGGTAAGGTCACTTGTATTTATAAATTATTGCAAGCAAATGGTCCAAATGGTCCTCTATGCAGTTGTCATCCTCGAGACAAATTATCGTAAAATATCTCCTTAACCATTAGGTTAACCTGATTAACCCATTAACCAATGTCACTTTAGAATTTAACATTCTTTCGATTTATAATGAAAAATACATACTGTCCAAATAAATAAATGAAGATGACCTTGAAAATTTCGAAACCCCTCATACATAAAAAATTGACACGCCATATTTTTCCTTTCTCGAAACCATACAACTTTTGTTATTAAACAATTCTTCATCAGACGCGTAATTTAAAAAGTTATTTCAGGTGTGCAAGTTACGTGAAACAGCCTATATACCTATTCCTATGTGTAATATTCCTATGTATATGACTGTAATCGGTCAGATCTTTTTACGAAAGGAATACAGCTAATTGTCAATTTAACACAGGAAACAATGCGCAGAAGAACTTTCGGATATGCAGTAATAAAAAAAAAAGAATTAGATCTTTTAATTTAACACAGGAAACAATGCGCAGAAGAACTTTCAGATACGCAGTAATAAAAAAAAAAGAATTAGATTTTTTTTTCATCTTTTCTAACAATGTAGAATTCTAAATCAAACGTTTAGACCGGTCATTTGTAACACGTTTAGTGTTCAAGACATGTGCTTTGTTTGAGAAGTCCGCTTGGGATTGATGCGTCGATCGAAGGATGGTCGATAGCAGGATGATGAATGTCATACGTGCATGTGGCGAGATTTCGATGACTTCGTGGAATGGAAATAAAACGAAGTTAGGTGGAACGTGGAATCAGTGTTCCATTTGGTAGGAAGAATCAGCTTAGAATCTTGCGTTGATAGAAGAACAGATAGCACGAAGATAAATTTTATACGCGTGATAAGATTCGAACGACTTCATGGAACAAGTAAATCGAGGATATATTGAATCTGGAATTACTGTGCTCCATCTGAGAAAGCCAGCTTAGAATCTTATGTTTGTTGATAGCAGGAGGATGAATTTTATGCGTCTGTTGAAAGTTCAATGATTTTATGGAAGATGAATGAAAGATTGGTAGAATGTGAATTTAGAATGAATATATGTTTCATTTGGAAAGGCCAGCTTGGAATCTTATATTGATGAGAGAATGGACAGCAGAAATATGAATGTTAACGATTAAATATCAATTATTTTATGGAAGATGAGTAAAGGATAGCTAGAAAGTGAT